AATTACATTGGGCCTTCTCATCCTGTTGATTACATTGGAGCATTTAGGGGCTTAAATGATAAGAATGGCAAAATTTGGCCCCAGTGTATAACAGTCAGCATTTAAGAATGAATATGTGTGTGTGTTTGTATTACATCCTGCCCAGAGATACAGTCAGATATGTTATTAAAATGCAGTAAACATCTTCACTTTGGCAGATACCCAGGAAGATGTAGTGAGAAACTGTAAAGATGTATAAAATTGATCATTTAGCATGGTTTAATAAAAGTAAGTACATAAGCACTAAAGCTGGCTTTAAAAAAAAAAAAAAGTATCATAATCTTTCTTACTAGAACCTGGAAGTCTCTCACTAATATAATAGAAATGTCTGTAATGTAATTTGTATTGCATTTGTGTATTACATTTCATATTTTCCAGCTATACCTTTTGTCCTTGTCAGCACAAGTGTTCTTGGCTCCTTTCCTTTTTTCTTCTTCTTTTTATTTAATAATTTACTGTAACAATTAAAAAAACCAAACAACCAAACAACCAACAAAACAACTCTAATGACACTTCATCAGAATAAATCCCCAAAGCAAAAGATAGTAACTGTAATAACCACATCATCTGTTGGCCCCCCTTTCCTCTCCCTCTCCACAAGCAAACTTATGGAACTTGAACTCATTTTTTCTGCCCTCATTTGGATGAACCTTCATAAATGGAATCAATGTCTCTTTTTGTCTAAGAAAGGCGAATTAAAATGAAGTGATAAATTCAAGATGTGACCTCTCTTCCCTAAAGTGTATCTGCTCTCACTGCCCTTTGCATCTGCACATGCAGCCACTTTTAAGTGTGCCTTCCCTCCCCCAGATCCATCTGGTCATAACAACTGCTCAGGATGACTAAATCAGCACACAGGAGCTTCATGTGACCATGTTGTCACTTGGGATTCATTTTTCCCCCTTGGTTCCTCTCAAACATTCCCAGGGACCACGACTTACAAGCCTATTGCTCCCTCTAGAGCCCTTCAGTGCTGTTCTGGGGGACCACTTAAATCATCTCTCATCATGCTGGATGTGAGCTCACTGCTCTTTTTGCTTCCAGCCTCTGTCAGATGGGATGCAGACTGAATGCAGACTTCAGGTTCCTGTATTGCAGTGTAGTGCACAGGCACAATACCTTCAAATGCTTGGGTCTTAGAAACTGATCTTCACCTTTTGCTGGTCCGGGAACAGTATTGCTGAGCAAGTGCTGGCGGACAACATTATGCTTTGTGCTTCCTCTTCAGTTCTTGCAGCTTTGCACAGCATCAGGGAATCTCATGAGCAATCCTGTAAAGTCATGAGCTCAGGACAACTGGTTTAATCCATCTGACTTCAGCTGTCCAATCAGCAATGACTTCTGGGGGCTTTTTTGGTAGTACAGGCTCTAGCAAACCCATCAGCAGAGTCTCCAGGTATCATTTCAAAAGTCAGCATTGTATTTTGACCAGAAATGTTGCTGTTTCCATTATTTTCTCCAGAATGGTTCTGGCCTTAATGCTCTTGCAAAAATAAACATTACCAAGCAATTTTTCCTACTCTATTTGTGAGGCAAGACTTGATGGCAGCAGTGAGTCTTGTGCTCTGCCCTTACACATATGAGGGTATACTTGACGTCTGTGGGAAGGGTTTCCAAAGGCAGAGCCGTGTCCCACATCTGGAGAATTTAATCCTTGTGCACATGAGGTGTTTTGTGCCTAATATTAGGAACTGCCAGGGATAGCTACAGAAACAGCAACAGCCTCTGAAGTGACTCTTGCACCCCAGCAAGGCACAGATTGACAGTGACATCACCCATCAGCCCTCACACCATTGTCAAACACTCCCATGATGACACAGTAACGATCTGCTTCAGTATACTGAGGGATGGACCACAGACCCAAGCTAATTTGTGCATGGTTTTCTGTAGATTCATGGGGCTGTTTAACACAGAGGGTCTCAGATTTTGATGTTAGCTCATGAAGGGCTACATGCTGTCTTGCTGAGACTGCTAGGACATCATCAAATTGTAATCATGACTACTGAAGGCATACAAACCAGGCCAGTGTTTCAGAATGCCTTCTTGAGGTGTTTGGTCCCACTTTACAGTCACTAGAGAGGTTAGTCCCTCACTTAGGCTGTTTTGGTGGCACCCACTCCTTCCTGAGTTGAGCAGAAACACTAAGTGCTCAGTGTAGGTCTTCTGCCAACAGTTATGAGGTCCACTTCTTAGGCATCAGAAATCATGGCATATAATACAGGCTATAGTGCTAGAGAGGCTGCATACAGCCTCCACTGACTGATCTGGTATTACTTCAACCAATTTAGTCTGCTGCACATTGCATATGTATGTGTGTGTGTATATGCATTGCGCTTGTGTGTAAGTGTATTATGCAAGAGCATGATGAAAATAAAAATCTGTATCATGGCTGTATCATAATATATAAAACCAAGGAGGAGACATCTATAGTCCTACTGTCATCCCAAAACAGGTATATCCATAAAATACAGATTTCACTAACAGTACCTCTAATTTTAATCTGCCTTTGTCAACCAGACACATAAAGGATGAATAATGTAGAAGCTATGAATAAAAGTGATAAAACCACTTAATAAAGCTAAATGTAAGTGAAACACAATAACCAGGGAAAAAAACACAGCCAGAATTATTGGTAAGCAGCAATGAGTGACATGTAGGTTTATGGTTATATAGTCCTGTGGTTAACCAGGATGTGGTTAATGAATAGTCTTCTGTCAACAAGAAGTAAGCCAAGTATCTTCCTGCTTTTGCCAGCTTGTGTCACAACCATATACGGTCTCAGATCAAGTCTGTTCTGTAGAAAATCTTGAAAGTAACTTTACCTCCCTCTTCTTTATTCTTGTAGACTGGTAATGTGGCCACATTTTAATACATTTCACCACTGTTATAATTTTATACTGCATTTCTTTTCTATCTGGAAAATCAATCCACAACATCTAAAGAAATAAATGGATTACATAGTCTAGCAGAACAGCAGAAACACCTTACCTAATGCTTCAGCAGTTGTCAAACCCCAAACAAGCCAAAACCACAAATGGGAAGCAAGGTGGAAATACCTCAGATTAGTAAAAAGAATAAAGTATCTTTTCAAATTCTCTTTCAGTCTTAGTGATCTGGGTGTTGTATATAATGATACAGGGAAGCTATTTCTGGAAATAAACTATTTTTGGTATTTAAAGACTATCAAGGACACAGACATCTTTGGTCTGGGTAGATGTAGGACCCAAGAGCTGAGGTCCAGAGGCCCTGAGACAGGGATCTGAAATGATTTTTGCTTCTGTTGCAGTTCGTTCCATCTCAGGAACTGCTTTCTAGTGAGGATGTGGAGGTGGGAGGAGACTGACCTGGGATTTGCAAGGCTTGTGTTTCAGCTTCTGTTTTGTCAGGGCTGTGGTTCAGGATTATAGTTGGATTTAGTTGCAGCAGCCAAAGTGGTTAGCATCGCTGGCCACAGGCTTCCTGTGAGATCGTGGCCAAGACACTTTATCTCTCCATAGTTCTTCATCCACAGAGTGGGGAGAATATCTCCTTAATTCACAGGGATGTGATGAGGACAGCTTCCAGTAACAGCTATGTGTGTGTGTTCATCGTGATGTTGATGCAGACCATTAGCACCAGAAGTCGGAACTGCATTAAGAGATGTATTGAATTGCAAGTTAATGTGCATGGGGTTGGGGTAGGGGGAATATTGCTGCTAGAGGCAGGCATTTATATTTATACTTATGTTTAAGTTTGTATTTATTTATGTAGATAAATGAAACAAACAATAAGAATGTGAAGTCTTAAAAGGGAAGGAACTCAGCACTCAGGAGGGCTGGAACCAAGTGGTAAAATGAAGCAGGCTGATCTGTATGGGAAAGTTCACACTGAGTGTGCCCAAAGGAGGAGAGCCTTAATTTTCTTACAATAGTTCCTGGTTATCTAACTTGGGGTGATGTCCCTTGATGTCTCTTACTGATGACTAAGATTCCTGTTGGTATCTTAGTCCTCCGTGATGCTCAGATAACTTGTGCTAAACCTGCTGACAGGCAATGTTTGTATTGTTGTCCAGGCCAAAGCCACAATGAATGCATGTATGAGGTCTTATCAGAGCTGCAGAGTGTTAACTTTTGTTATTTAAAAAGGCCTGAAGTAAATGTTGGCATTTCCCAAAAGCAAATCCAGGGGTAGCAGGATCTGAACACATTACAGTCACAAGGGGATGCAAAACCCTCCCCAGCAGCCATCAGAATGAGTACTTTTCCCAACTCAGAGCCGTGGCATGCACATAACAATTTTGAAAGGCCTTCACAGTTTTCTTACAGAATAATAAAGCATATAAGCGTAATGCTCCGCTATGTCTTCATAAAATGTTTTAATTCTCTGTGGACAAGCTGTAGGGATTTTTTTTTTTCCATTCTCTTGTTTCTTGGCATTGCAGTAGGTGATTATTTTTAAAGGATTCTGGTTTGCAGTATGGAATTGATCTCATGCTAGCTCCAACCACAAAGCGTGGGATTTTACGATCTGCCTAGGGGATCCGAGCACCCAGTTCTCTTTAATTTTAACAAGCGCTGTTGATCGGATTCCCATGGCAGTTTTGGAAGAGTCAGACATGATTTCTAAGCCTTTCTGAGCTAACACGCTGTAGTAAGTACAGATAACGTACCAGCAGTCATGTAGATCAGATAAACTCTAACTGTTAGGGGGTAACCTCCTTTTTACAAACAAACTTTAGATCATTTAAATAGAAATTAATTTTTTTTTTTTCTGAAAGCCTTGAGTAGTTGCCACAAAGGGAATGCACCCAGTGCCAGGCAGTTGTGGGGTTATACACACGGCTTTCTGGGCACATGTCTGTCTTAAATTATGGACAGCTGAGGTGTTTTAGTGCCATTTGGTGTGTTTCAGTGCTACCTGAAATGGGGAGTACACATTTTCCCTACACATATGCTTACTAATGGTTTTCTTTCCTGTTGCAGGGAAAAGCTTCACGCTGACTATCACAGTCTTCACAAATCCGCCACAAGTAGCCACATACCACAGAGCCATCAAGATAACTGTGGATGGACCCCGCGAACCCAGAAGTAAGTGAGCTAATGACAGTGTTTGCAGAAGACCAGGTTGATGGTTTAGTATAGGGGTTCATCACCAGCCTCATGAAATGCAGCTATATCCAGCGCATGTGGGCAGTGAGTACGTATTAAGCCAAGGCTGTCCTAGGAATGGTTTTAATTATGCCTTCCCAAAGCCTTGTTTTTCATGGGTGTCCAGCTGATCTAGAATATGATTTGCATTGCATTTCTAAAGTATCTATCCAGGGATACCTTGGATCATACCCAAAAGCTGACAGAAGGGATACTGGTAAAAGGTGGGCAGCATATACCTTCTTATGCATCATTTCTTGCTAGTCTTGCCTTTCAGATGTTAAGAGGATTTTAAAGCATTGGAAACCAATATGTCATTGATCTAACTTTTCAAGCTCAGCCACCCTGCAAAATAAATATGTGCCTGAGAGAGGACACCTGGTTGTTGCCTTGTGGAGTTCACTGTATACCTTGAGCTGTCGTATAGATTAGGAGCACCCGTTTTCACAGGCAGACAGTCTTTCCTCTTTGTTTTTCCTTAAGTTTGTTAAAGATCTAAGTACAAGGAGGAGGTGGATGTTTGGTATCTCCATGGGAATACCCGCACCTCTCACGCAGGCAGTTGTTTTGTTCTGGTGGTGAGGGCAGGCTGTTTTGTCTGCGGGGTGAAGTGAGGGTGGAGCAGATGGGCAGGTATAGATGCTTCTGCAGCACATGCACTGCCTGTTACCAGAGGCAATCATTAACCTCAGTCGTTAGCCTGAATGGGGCATTTTCATATTTTTATCAAAATGCCCTGATGTAAATTGAGGTTTGTGGTTAGCTTCTTGAGCTCCTCCTGCACATTTGGCACAAGTTCTGCCTGTTGCTTAAGTGGAATCATCCCTGGAGAAGAGAGCAGCAGTATTCAAGCACCCACTTGAGAATGAGACTCACAGCTTGGGGTTGCTTAACTGGGAAGGGATTTGTGGCGGAGAAAAGAAAGGTCTAAAACTTCAACTAAAATAGCTTAGAAAACTCATGTCTTGCCTAGGCATTTTGTTCTTTATCCTTCGTTTGTCTGAGTTGCATCATGATGCTTCATGCATTGAGTGGAAATATCTGACCTATACTTTTTGGATTTAAGGCCAGAATTTAAAATAAATACTGCTGCCGGGGTAAGGCTTCTTATTTAGTTTGAATTTATTTTCTTGGAAAACTGTGGCTGAGTTGTCCCTAAAAAAATATCTCTGGTGAACCAGGCAGCTGCGCACATAGCAGAAGATATTTGTATATGCAAGTTTCAGATTTGCGTATGCAATTAACCTGAGCATGTTCATAGTTTGCAGACAACAAATAAGCTTTAGGTTTTTGAATATGAGTCGCTAGAATGGTAAGAAACAAAATCATCCTCCAGGCATAGCTGCTGTTGTAAATCAATTCCTCAGTTGGTATAATAGTTAATATTTAATAAGATGCTACATTTTGAAAAGGAAGTAGAGATACAATACATACTGAAGCAACATACGTATCTCCCCAACTCAAATGTATGTGAAAGCTTCCTTGTAAATGATTTCACTTTGTCATAGGCAAATCAGCTGCATAGTGGAGGAGGCTTTTGGCATGTCAAGGGAAGGTCAGGCTCCCCCCTCAGCGGGAATGCACAGCTCCCATTATCACCAAGTCATTTGTGATGCAGCATGGAAGGGGTTCATTTTTAAGTGGGCTACAAAGTCTGAGTTCTCACCAAGGGTTTCTGAATCTCGGTGGCTGCTGCAAGCTGTCTGGTACCTCCTCTCTTCTTCATACACCTGACTGAGACACAGACTGGCCTGACAAGACACACCATAGGCTATGAAGGAAAAAAAAGCAGTGCATTCTCCATTCTGAGGCAGTTCTGGAGGGCTGGGGCTGCTCATTTATTTTTCTATGCTCTAGGTTGGTGGGTGTATCCTATTTTGCATCAGTTCAATTAGATCACAGGCTACGCGTGTAACCTGTACAGAAATAGATTACAGGGCTGTTACCTGCGCAACTCACACACAAGATTTGTGGTTAGACATATCAAAACATGCATGTCATGTACTGAAGGCATTTAAAATGCTATCAGCCTTCTTGTATTGAGACTAGAATCAGAATAGGAACTGCTGGAGTGTTCCTAGTTTCAGAAATCGGTATTTGGGAATGTTCATGCTTACAGATGCATGCCTCACTCACTTGCTTAAACTGAAGAAATTACAGAAATACCAAGGTATATTTTCTAAGGTGTTCTAATTCAAAAGAAATCTGTGGAAGAGAGTAACAGGAACAAAATCAGATCCTGCTGTCTCACAGAGATCTAGAAGAAATATGCTGAAGTCCAAAACCAACTCCAGCAGTAGTTTTGATTCATTTACTACATGTTTATAGTCATTCTCAGATAGCCTGAGTCCTGAGTGTCTGCATTCTCTGAGAAGAATGCTGGAAGGTAAGGGACCAGTCCTGAGGATGGATGCCACCTGGGGCCACAGTCAGACCTTCACACCAGGATGGTTTTTAATGAACTTTACAGGACATAGAAATACCTTTTTTAAAAACCTCTAAGATTGATTAACTTAGGAAATAACAAACATTTTCTTTTGTCTTCAGAGAGTATTGGATCAAGAGCAGTTTCTGAGCCAGTATTAGACAGATTCCCAAAGTGGAGTGGGTTATTAATGCACAAGGACAGCCTTTTCAACTAGGTGTGCTCAGGGAAAAGACTTCAAAAAGTAATACAAAGCAGGATTTGAAACCATTTTTTGGAAAACAGAAAAATACTCAAACTAAAGGCTCCAAAAGCAAATACACAAAGCGCAGGCTTTATGGCTCACTGGGATGCATGGAGATGTCATGATAGGTGACAGTAACATGGTGTGTATGATCACATGTGCCACCTTCACTCTGCCCAAAGGCCTGCAGACTTTGGGTTCTTGCACATCCCACTGAACATTTGGTCAGGGTTACCATGAAGGCTGGTTTTTTGCCCCGCAGGATATTTGCCTATGTAACTACCAGGTTTGCATTTACAATTGTGATAATTACTTCTGCATAGGACTTACCCCATTGTCCTTTTTATGCCACTGAATTTCTGGCTGTGCCTACCCAGACTATACTTCCATCAAATTGTCATGGCTTACAGAGAGAGCCAAGGTACTTAAGAATCTGGCTCTTCCTCCACTGCTTTCATTATGTATTTTTAAAAACTCTTTTGAACTTAGTATTTTTATTCCACAGCTCTGAATAAATGCTTATTTTCATATATATATATATATATGAAATATATATATATAAAAAAAGAAATAATACCGCACTGTCAGGGAGAAGGACAAGATGACCTAACCCATCATTTTCTTCTCCAACTTCTATGATTCTATGATTCATAAAGCAATTTATGTTTTTATGAGCTAAGTCCATGGGGAAAATCATTAGCAGTAACCAGATCAAGAGTAGTGCTCCTGATGAAAATACTTTTGGTTAGGAAACTTGGTAGAAATAGTATGACTCTTAAATTAAATATTTCCCTTAGGCCATTTGACCTACTGTGTACGTCTGCTGAAAAATTAGGTTTTTCTTCTTTTGACTGCTTCTTTCTGTTTTTCTCATTGAATTGTTTTAACCTACATAGCACTGAAAGTTTTGCTAATGGACCAGGTGCCTGAAAATGGTGTGGAATGAAAAGGCTGCATGGATTTAAACTGAGTGGGCCTGAGATGTTGAAGGTTAAGCTGGACATTAAATATGATTGTCCTGCATTAGATACGTGGTTTTCCCAAATACTTTTTTGGCATTCATATGTCAAAGGGCAAGATGCTGAGGAGCAGAGAGGGAATAATATTGCTGAGCAGGATTTGAGAAGGAGCTTAAAAATCTGCTCACCCAAGATGTCCCTTTTTAGGAATGGAAATTTCCTTCTGCCTCCTGGGAAAGGTAGCCAGAGAGGGTGCAGGTACACCTTTGGGCAAACACAATAAAGAGCACCCCCAGATCCTGATCTTAAGTGATTCCATCTCACTTGTAAGATTCAAGGAAAGCCCATGACCTGTAGCTGATCCGAAGTAGACCTTCAAAGACCCCCTTGCCTGGCATTAGGTCTTTTTTAAGGAATCCCGAGGGCTGGTGGTGCTAAGTGCACCTGATGTGGCAGTGCTATCCCCATCCAACCTTTGCCCACACACTTAGACTCCCATAGCAGCTTCTGGAAGGGGAGTCAGCAGAGCTGGTGAGGGGCCAGCATCCCCTATCCCATGCCAGAAACAGGGCATGCTGCACATATCAGGCTTGGAAGGAATGATTCCTATGAGGATTTCACATCACTTCCACCTTCAGCCTTTTGTGCAAGGAAGAGAGAGCCAAGCTGTTCTCAAAAAAACCTTTTTTATCTCAGCTTATCAGCTCCTTCCATTCACATGAAGACTTACAGTGTCTAAAGGTTACTTAGCAGAAAATGTGTAGTGGTAAAGGAGGTTCTTACAAGTTGATTGCCCATATAACAGGAATGAACTGGGACTCCTTTCTTCCTTTGCTAGCACTAGCTGCATGCTCCACAGCATGCCACCCTCTCAGTATCACAACCCAACTTTGCCAATCGCCCTTTAAAATATGTTGGCTAAGGAACTCGCCTCCGAGAGCTTCCAACCTAAATAGACCATGTACAGACAAAAGAAAGGGTTGGGCTGCAAGAAAAGCCAACGGCTGTGCACTTACTGCTGGGTCTGTGCCTGTGTGTTTGTGTCCCCGTGTCCTATTGTCTGGGTGACACTGATGTGGGTGGACTAGTGCTTAAATTATGAGTGCACTCTGGGGACACTTGTAGTTGGCTTGTGCAATGGTTATGTGCAGTGGTGCAGCAGCAGGGGGAAGGTTACAAAACATCACTAGCTCCAATTCACACAGTGTGACTTGATGTGTTGCTGCCTCTAAATGGGTATGAGTAGGAAAGGGATTGCTGTTGGTTTCCTTCCTGAGAGCGTGTATGTCTCATTGAAGGATGGACGGAGCAG